GTAATCGAAATTAATTTTTTCATTTTGCGAGAGATGGATCTAAACCGATTATGTATGTTAAAAGCAAAACAAGATTCAACATTTTTTGTCATACTTCGAGATGTATTAATTTTCTCTCGTTGCCTTTGTCAAAACAAATTCACTTCTTCAATTCTATCAAATTCAACTGCAGCTGCGTATCTTTATGTCCATTTCTAAACGCAAGAATCCCGACGCCAGTGTGTTCCTAGGACCTTCGCAGATTCTAAAATTATCCGAATCTCCCGCCGCGCCGGCACAACCCCGCGGGGAAGCTCTCTTCGCCAGCCGTTCGAGTCTCGCACAAAACACGTCAAGAAAACTTTCTTCGTCTCGGCCCGAGAGCTTTATTGTTTTTTCGCGGAACGATTCGCGCGCGGAATATTTCAGCGAAATTTCGCGGCGCGAGGAAAAGAGGTGTGCAGAGAGAAAAAAAAAATTAAAAAATACGGAAAAACGCGCGACTTACACGCGTTCGCCGCACAAATCAGCGCGAGAATTCCGTGCTCTCGCGCGGTGAGAGCCCGTGAGCTGGCGTGCGAGGAGTCGGGTCTTGTATCGCCGTCGATCACCTCGTGTTTGCCGCGATGTCGAACTGGCCGGGGTGTTCTGGTTTCGCAGAGATTTCCCCCGCGGTATACGGGGGATGGTGAGGTGGAGGGAGACTTCCCGACGACGACGATTTGCGCGGGAAGCGTGCGCGCGCCGGCACTGCGCAACCTGGGGCACCCCCGTCGCTCCGCTCGCTCCTTCCGCTTTGCGAGCGACGTGCGGCGCGGCGGCGAGAATGGAGCCGTCGTTCTCTCAGGTGATAGGACGGATGAATAGAGAGATAGGCCTTTGCGTATGTGTATGTATATGCGTGTGCGCTTACGCGCCGCGACGCCGCGCTGACGTATGCCGGTCCGTGACGGCTGCGGCGATTACAGCGTTATGAAGCTATAGAACTTACAGAGCTGCAGAACGCGGCTGCGGAAGCTCGTCAGGTAGAGAAGACGGAAAGTTACTTCCGTGAAATTGTAACGGACGTTTTGTGCGGTGATACACTCCACCACGTTAGCCGCAGGTTCCTCGCTCAATCTGGAATTGATTTCTGGTACTCGGCAGAGGCGTCCAAGTTCCCCGACAGCTCGTGGGATTGAAAATATGCCTTGAATATCATTTCGTATTGTTCAAAATTCAAATCCTACATGATGACATTTAATCCTAGAATAACGGGAAAAAATTTCACGATCGTGTAGCGTGAAATGTCTCGAGGCAACGGGTGTACGGCTTTTTTAACGGTATAATCTTTAAATTTATGCGTCACTCCAATGCATAGTTCCATCTGTTTACAGCGGATTTTACAATACACGTAATTATTGCTGTACAGCGCCGCAACGCTAGCCAACAGACCGTTTTAATTGTGACCGCTCAATCTGCATACAGAGAGACATTCACCGGATGTTCAATGAATTTTAATGCGTCGGACATCAATTACGTTAAAGCATATTCGCATCTATGCGCGTGACGAGCGTTTGCGACACCTCGTCGCATTTAGCGGTTTTTGACAGTTCCAAGGGTATCTTCTTCAATCACTTTCTAATATTCTGCTCCATGTACTCTGCTCTCGCTACATCATGCTCAAAATTCCAAAATTAATGACGGAAATTTGAATAACAAAGCGCTCATTAAGAAAAAATATCTTTTTTTTGTCGCTTTACGCAATCTCTCGCTGCCTGTAACATGTATGTCGAGCATCATGCAAGTCACCGCAGAGCGAGGCGCGCGTATTTTTCTCTCCGGCGCAAAAAAAAGTTTACGCACGCGTTTAAACGTCTCCGTCGTTTACAGACGCGTTATTAATGATCTCAAAATCACCAAGATTAAGTGTATTTAATTTTTCTAGCGAGGGAAAATACGAGCATATCGTGTAAACATGATTTCGAGTTATCGACAACTAGCTGAAACACAATTGTAGCGGGAGAGACTTTTTCACAATTGCAAATTATCTCGTACTTTTTTTAGTTGCACGAGATAAATACTTTGCATGCTTCCACAGAGTACATATTGGCAGTCGGATTTTACATTCTGTACCTCGTGAATAATCTTAAAGTATAAACGAATTGCGCAAATAATTTACATATGCTAACGCACTGTTTGCATTTTTCAAAAGTTACGTATTCTGTCTTTCTTTCTTTTCTTCATAGACAATATTATTACGTAAACGTGAGAATAGACGCGTCTATGGTTAAGCAAAAAAAATATAGTTATACCTATCCAGGCTTTTGATATTAGACTACGTCGGTCAATATTGATTTTTCAGATGAAATTTGCGGTTGGTATCACATACGTTTCTTTGCATATACATATATGTGTGTGCGTGTGTGTGTTTCTTTCGCGTAAAACTGCCAGACATCGGATTACGTAATGAGAAACCCTTGAAAACAGCCGCCGTCTGGTTACAGAACGATCACTTCCAATTCCGTAATTGTACGAACGCGTAAGTGGTCTGGATAAAATAACGAATGAGAGAAACGAATGATGTTTTTTAGGTTCGGATCTCTGCGAGCATCCATCTAAAATATCCGCTGTTATGAAAACGGAGTTTTTTTTTTTTAAAGGAAACGTGCCGTGAAAGAATAGGAGCGACAAAGTCCCGTATTACGCGTACACAATTATTCGCGGCGTGAGTAAACAATTCTGTTACAGCGCCTGGCGTCGCGTGAAACAACGTAGAAAACTAACGAATGCAATAATTAAGCGCATTCAGTCCGTCTAGTTTATATCATCGGCCGGGTCACGGGTTAGGTCACACTGTGCGCGCGCGCACACACACACACAGACACGCAATCACACACGATACAATACAGCCAATTTTTCTACAAATAGAGGAATTTCGTTCAGTAACAGATCGCGCCGCTCTTTTCAAATACAATCGGGTAAAATTTGTTCGGGACGGTCTGACAGATTTCCTAAACGATTATCGGATAAAATCGGATGAAATTGCTCGCGTAACGCTCAAAAGTTAATTCCATCGCTTAGAGAAGCCATTCAGCTATTTTCATTCAATCTGAGAAGTTTGAGTTGGACGTCCTCCAGATACACAGGGTTGAAACACGTGACTTTGATGGATCGCTCTCGCGTTGCTCTGGCAATCTTCCGAACGATTTGCGTCTTATAATTAAATGGATGCGCCGCGCCGCCGGTTCGCCGATCGTGAATATGTTGCGCGGCATGAATTTCCTGAGGCATATCGTTGCACGACGAAGTTTAGTGCCCCACAACACATGGGTGAAATGACCATCGTAAAGGCATTGTCAACACCGTGCTTTCGGCAAGGTTCGAAAATAGCGTAACGCCAGGTCGTTTCCCGCACCAACCGTAAACGGAAGTTGGTAATTGAAGTTGGTACAGACGCGATCGCGTGTACGCAGGCGTGTCCGCGAAGTGTCGTTAACGGTGATTAAGTCGTGACGCCGGAAATAATCGCCGCGCTCATCGGAAAATCTAATTTCAGGCCCGTCAGACGCAATATCCAGGAACGCGGGAGTTTAGCGCCGATCGGCGCCTCTTTTCGTTCGCAACAATTGAAGAACTTAAATAATTAAATCGTCGATTCGCCATCTATTCGGTAATGCGGAATTTTCAATCGCGCGGAATTATCGGCGAGCCATTAATTGCTATTTAATAACGATTCGAATTGCGGGAATGTAAAATAAAATATCGGAATTCTACTTGCATTAATTCATTAAGATATAATTTTGTGGCACGCGGAGATATCATAATTGTTTAAGCGTGCACATCCTGTTTACCAGGCACACGTGCGTATATTCTTTCCTCCTTTTTTATCATCGTATATAAAATATAAATTTTTCTACTACAATTTCCCTGGAAGACGGTAGGCGTTTATGCGTCACAGCAGATGCAAGTGAAAAGTGTCCCACACTATCAATCCGTGCGTTAATGCCACTTTAGATAAAAATATTTGCATAGGCTGCAGTTCCACTCGTGTGCACTCACGTTGCACTCATTCTATCGTAAAATGAGACCCGCATGCAAAACTCTGTCGTCGTAATACGTCTGACGGTACACTAAGACGGCACAACAATCGCGTAGAAACATAATGCGCAAATTATAAAACGGTAGCTATACGTCTCACTGCGTCAAAAGATAACTCCCTAGTATTAACGAACTACAAGAAAATACCGCTTTTTGTTTTTTAGCGTGTTTTCCTGATGATTTTTGCGAATTATTGCAACACCGCGCGAGAAGCACCCGCAATTTTATTCTCTCAAATCGTATCATTCCGTTCCGATGAGCAAACAATTCGCGCTAAAGCTTTCCCTTGTACAAAATATATGGTATGGGTTTTACGTGACGGACACGGTACGGTAAATTGAACGTTAATCGAGGTATAATCATCCAGTCGTATAATCTATAACAACGTCGCGAACGACTTAAATTACGAGATACTTAAGTTACGTGATGATGCAACTTACCTGTACTGATCGGTAAATATCCTGAAAATAAGAATATTCGTATTTATTCGATAACATTCAACTATGTTCAGCATGCGGTTAGTAATACTTATGCTTAACTCGCAAAAACGTCAAAGGTTACCGTAATCCGACGCTCAAACTAACATTACTATATCGTCACTTATACAGCGCGCATTTTACCGTACAGAATAACAAAATTCGCCAGGCACGATGATAGACAAGCCTAAATATAGTACGCGACGTGTTCAACGCTTCTAACTTTGAACTTAAAGACCGGCGGAAAGCAGCAAGAGAACGTTATTACGCAGCGAATAATCTCTGGTTTGACAACGTTTTTATAATTATAGTGTAGAAACAAAAGATTTTGCCCATTTTAGCCATCTAAATCTACACTCTAAATCAGCAATATCGCTATATTACGGAATATATCGTAAAGCAATGTCGCTGTTGCGTAAGCGCGGGAATTTGCATGATCTTATGCTAAAGCTGTGTGTGTATTCGTTGCGTATACGTGAGGTCGATGCGATCTTGTGTCCAAGTTTGCTCGGTTCCGTGACCACCAGAGTGAAATTATATTAAGAAAGTACACAAAATGAGTGATATAATTTCAAAGCAATAAAACAATTTTCCCGAGAAGTAGTATAACGCTCACAAGCGCAGATTGCATTGCTACAATTCTGTTACTTTCACTAGTCTGTAAACTTTCAACGGCCAATTAATCGAAAGTTTTTTTTTTTAACACCTCGGATTGAAAATAATAATTATTTAGTTGTATATTATCATCCCCACATATTTTAAATACATATTTTACCTAATAGCAGTATGATGCGATCACAGTTGTAAGAAATACAATTAATTAAAAGGAGTTAATTAAATTTGACAACAAAGGACGATATATATCTGTAATGTTAGAATATTAAAATCACAATAATAATAAAACAATTTAACACGAAAACATAACATGCACGTTTATTATTATTATTATTCGGGGAAATTATTACTCGGGGAACAGACTCGCTCATGTGGAATATATTAATAAAATATTAGGGCATTGCTTTACATCGGTGATCATATGGAGGGTGTTGAATGATTTGTTTAGTGTGGAGTCCAAGTGTGAAATAAAACAAAATGAGTTAGATAATAGGATCGAGTACATACGCTCGCTCGACAGGAAGCTCTGTCTCTTTGAACCTGCAACCCAAGGATCACATACATCATATCGTCACACCCCAACACCCACTAGCGACGATAAAACATTTAAATAGACGGCAGCGGACAGATGATGCTTCCAAATTGCAGTTTGCGTCAGTGCGTCATATCGTTTCAAGATGTCAAATTAAATTGAATTGAAATTGGATAAGATGAATAAAAATTTAAGATCAATTTCTCAAATTAAAAAGCGAAAATAGCTCATTTTTATAAATAATAATAATTATTTTATTATCAAGCTCGGAAACATCATCGCCGTAGACAGTTGAACGTATGTGTATGCAAGTGAAGTAACGACATTTGTGTGAAAAAAAAGTAAGGGCCAAGAGTAGTAAGCATCACCGCCACCAAGAAACTACGATATTTCATCAAGATACATAAAAGCACCAGTAGACGAATCACGAACTGTTTACGCACAGTTGTGGGTCCAAATGAGACTGTTACACGCATAAATCAGAATTGCAGGCAACGAAGATACCGCGTGTTACGATACATATCGCATAACAACGAAGATCTATTCTTCAGTTACCAATAAATCAACAAAATCAAGTTTAAAACACAGTATGTGTTTCATAAAAATAATTTGCATACACTGATACAGTCGTGTTAATCATCTGAGTCGTTTATCATCCAACTATCACAAAGGTAGATAAAACATATGTAATATCTTGTCGCGGTACCATGCCGGCAGCATTGCCGGCGCCACCAACAGGTCTCTTCCGTTCTCCATTTTATCGGCTTCTGTAGTAATCCGCTCGAAGCTATCGTAGCTTTTCGAGAACGGCATCTGCATTATCGGTACGCGTTCTCTTCGTTGCCGCAAAAACGTTCTCACAACCTCCAACGATATTACAGACTGGTACCAAACCAGAGTAAAGTAGCAGAGCGAACGAACATCACGATTCAATTATGAATGGCACGCGCAACGAAATTTCCAGGCGCGCAGTCGTAGAATTGTAGAAAAGTGCCATAATGTGTACGCATGCATATATATCTTGTAAAACGTGTGTATATTACAAAAGTTGATTTTGAAATTTAAGTGAACAATTGGTGTCGATGCGTAAATCAACAACTCGCACTGCGCGATTTAAATGAGTAAATAGGGCGAAACGGTTCTTCCTATACATAGATGTGTTAATTTGTATTCCGTATATTCGTACCGAACGCTGCTTCAAAGCGCACAAAACTATGTATTTTCAACGAAATACGAAACACGAAATTAAATATTAAATTTTTTACTTCCTCGCATGCAAAATAAAGCTAAACTATTCATATAAGGATAAAACTAGTAAATAATTCCATATATAATAATTCTGTAGTAAATTATTTCTCAAATGTCGATTTCTACGACTTATAACGGAGTAAATTTATTTTTATATACGTCTCATAAATAATTCTCTTATCACGCATCGCGTTTTATTATAAATAAATAAACATTGCGCGCCTTTATAAACCGCGTGATTTTCGTTCAGATTCAATGTCTCTGGGGAAGCTAATAAATCCTCCTTCACGAGCGCGTTCAAAAAAAAGGTATTATAGACTTTCTGCCCGAGCAGCGTCGAAGCAGCCTTCGCCAATACGCGTTATCTACTCACGTAAGCCCCAATTTACTGATAATCGATTTATAACGCTGTCGCGGGAGAAAGAGAGAGAGAGAGAGACCGAGCTATCGGAGAAAAAGAAATTGAGGGAGGATGCTCACCTCTCGCTGGCGATGGAGCTGTTTCGCGACATCGATTTCGGCGACATCTCGAAGTCGCTGTCACTCCGGTACAGGAAGCTCTCCCTCCTCTGTGGCAGCGTTTGGAGAACGAGCCCCGCGCTCGGCGAGGCGCCGCCGCCACCACCGGCGCCGCCGTCCAAAGTCGAGGCGCCATTTTCCACGTCGAAACTATAATGAGAAAGGTAAATTCGCATTAGAAGCGAGCCGCAGATTTCTCATCTCGGACGATTCGAGCGCGCGGAGTTCTCTTTGTTTTACGACGCGTCCCACGCGCGAGGGATGAATAACGTTACTCCGGCCTTTGGTCAGTATAATCACGACGTCAGAGCGACGAGAATGTTTCTCACGGTGGAACGTCGCATAAATTTCGCGTACCTAATAATATGATGATGCCACGTAAATAATAATTTTTCGCTCGGCGAGAGAGAAACTGCTCTCGGCCCGATAAAACAAGTTTATAAATTGCGCTGTGCGTGGAAACACAAAATATGGCCTGTGCTTTATGATCTTGCAGGACGGAATATAGAATACCGCCATAATAGAATACCGCCTCGGTATCCTGAGCGTGATGAATGGGGCGCATATTAAAATATATTGATGGCGAAATCCGGACACACTTTCATGAATTTCTGTAGTCTATATAATGTATCGCGCTTGGTTTTGCAAGGAGTAATGAATAAAATTGATTAATTCTTGCTTGTTACTTGTTAAAATTGATTAGCTTTCTTCTCTCATTTGTCTTGGTGTTCTTTTGGTCTCTCTCGGTGAAAGTTGCAGACTCAGTACCACCCTTCAATCATGCTTTTTTTACTGTATTAATCAAGTGTCGTTTTTCCCATGGTATAAATAGCACGTGGGTTGTCATCGTTCATGCGTTTCGTAAGAGATGCGCTATCGGCTATCCTATCCCATGCGAGATTTCGGAAACGCTGAAGTCGATCCCATCATCTAGCGATAATGGAGGATTCACACCGCATCCGGCGTTCGTTCGACCGATAAATCCTCCATAACAAGAGACCTTATAATTAAGAGTCTGGCCATAAGGCAATTTTGTCAAAATCCTACAAGAGAGAATACACATTCAGTACACGCTCCCTTACCAGCGCGAGTTCTGATTGGCCTCTGCTTTCCTGGTTTCTGCTATTCTGCCAAGGTGTGAATTTTTTCGAAGAGCGTGGTTCTCGAACGCAGCCCTGCCGAACGCGTCCATTATTTCTTCTGCAGGTTCTGCCAGCAATGCTTCACCTGTCTATTTTACACCATGGTTTTTCCCATCAAAAGTTTCCGAATCTCTTTTTAGACACTATGTCCTATATGACGATTTCGTACATATTGTTTTTCAAGTATAAGTCGATTTCTTTTCGCAATAGGCGAAAATCGCGACCGTGATGAACTTTGTTCGGTTTAACCTTCAGCTTTTGGGTTTCAATGGAAATAGCTGTGCGAGGTCTTCGACCATCCAGGCACGAATCGAATGGACAGAAATATACGTGTTGGAAGTTGAGAAACCCAAGTGGGTAAAAGTTTACAATAACTTACACAGCTCGGATTATTTTGACCTTGACATATGTTGTCAAGGACATAATACTGAGTAACTTTTTCTTATAACTTAGTCGGCGGTCGCTGCTTATTAAAAAGTTATAAACAAAAAAAGTTTGAAAAATATAGCAGCTATTTTGAGTATTGGAAGGCATAAATGACTAATATATATGTCGAAATAGTTCACGCATACACTTTTCACGCGAACCGAGGTTCAACCACACCCCCCCCGCTTTCGGGGAAGGTGCGGTAGCCCCGAAATAGTTCACGCATATACTTTTCACGCGAATCGAGGTTCACCCACACCCCCCCTGCTTTCGGGGGAGATGCGGTAGCCCCGAAATAGTTTACGCATGGGTTAGTTGACGCGTTTTAAACAATTAAATACTGTTAAAGCGCGTCATCTAACCTATGTAGATTAGTGACGCGCTTTAAACAGTTAAATACTTGTAAAGCGCGTCATCTAACCTACGTATTTTCCAAACTTTTTTTGTTAATAACTTTTTAACGAATAACGAGCAACGGCTAAAACCTTCTGAAGGTCACTCGGGGTCATGACCTTGACAACATATATCAAGGTCATTGAAATCGGTGAGGTCGCCAAACTTTTTTTTGTTAATAACTTTTTAATAAAAAGCGACCGCCGATTAAGTTATAAGGAAAAGTTAGTATTATGTCCTTGACAACATATGTCAAAGTTAAAGTAATCCGAGCTGTGTAAGTTATTGTAAACTTTTACCACCCAAGTGAGATGACGCTTTTACGAAAATAAATATCCGAAATACGCACGCGCTCCTTTTCGCAATAAGGCAGCGTAAAACATATGTATTCTTCGGTGTCCTGAAAATAATTCTGCGGTATCATATATCATTATTCTATTGTTTCATGGAACCATTCGGTGTTTTTTTTTGGCACATTTTGTGAGTCAATTTGCAAACAGATTAATATTTAGTTTCAGATAATTATATTTTAAATAATTATTTTTATAGCTACTTTTTCGGTTATATTAATTAAAGCAGAAGTAATTTTTTAGTGGAACATTATATATTTAAGAGAAAAGATAAGATTGATCATATAGAACATATACGCTCCATATATTCATAGCCGCTGTAAACAATCAACACGTTGCAAGTGAAGGAAAAATTTGTCGACGCGAGCGACCTTAATTAGATGAAGCATAAAATGGGCGGCAAAATCTTCCTCATTACACTAACGATGTGCAAGTGTCTTCTTACGATGCCAAGAAGAAATGTCGAGTTGTATCCTTTTTAGCTCATGTTGCGCCATAAATGTAGCTAGTTGAAAGACTTGCGGGGGAATTCTAGCAAATAACTGAAGCGAAAGTTTCGTCACCTGAGTGCTCATTATAGCGAATCTTTTATCTATTTCATCATGCTGATCGTAAAATTTATTGCAATTTCTTACGGATTTCTAAGATTTTTAAGAGAGCCTAATTCGACGCAAATCAAGATAAAATAATTTTTGATAATTTAAAATGGAGTTGACGTAAATAGAAAAATGGGATGTAATTATTAAAATATTTCCGTTGGAAATGTAAATTGAATTTTCATCACAAGTCAAGCCGTATGATTTCACGGAACGAACGGAGCGGCTGAGCGGTAATACAATAGCTTTGTGATACTGCGCGTATACTATTATTGCCCTCGCTGCGCCGCATTGTACCAATAAAATTGCATGTTTTCAAAGAGTGTCTGCAAAGTCGGAAGCAAGCAGTTACCGTGGTCACGGTAGTTCGCTTGCAATAATGCATCCGTCACTTAATTAAATTTTTTTTCCTTTCTGTTGCCATCGAGGGAATATTGCGAGCACGGCTACATTTTTTTCCTCGCGCACGATAACAATCATTACGTCGTATTACGTAAACTGTGATTAATCTCGTAACCTTGCCATTCAGTGTGACTAATAGCCCAGCCGTTGTCAATGATAGCGGTCTGCGATTGCACCCCGCGCAATCTGATCGTGAATGCGATTGATAAAGGAATTGTATTACGGCGAAGACGTCCGAAAACTCGCGCAGAGCTTTGCGGAAAGCGCACGAAGACATTCCTCGAACGAGATTGGGCAAAGGCGCGTTTTGTTTGTACGCGACAGGACCAAGCCAATATTTGTTGCGTGCTGAAATATAAATGTCATTAATGGACATTTCCGCGATTCCACAGGCCGCGCCTATTCCACTTTAAAAAAAGAAATCTCCGAAAGACTAGAACTTCACCGTTGACATATCGGTTACGGCAGGTTCGAAATATGCAACGCTGAATTCTCGATAAATTTCAACAAATTTCATACGCGGATGTTTCGCGCAACGCGACACGAGATAAGAGCTCTTAACTCAAGCAATTTATTGGTTTAATTTGTGCAACAATCGTATTGGCGTTGCTGCACAATTGATGTCTGCCGCTTTAGCTCGCAAAATTTGCCGTTGGAAAAATTATTTATTCGATACCGTTTATCGGCGATACTCGACATGAAGAGCCGTGCCTATAAACAAGCATTGGTATGTGCGCCCCTGTGTCTATCGATTCGCAAATTCTCGCGCAATTTTGGTAGATGTCGTGTGTGTATATGTATATATATATATATATATATATGTACCTATATAAATCGTTAGTTCAGCAAGCTAATCTCCGTACGCACAAAGGCGAGCGCTATTTATATTAAATCCCAGTACGCTACGACATATTTCACTTTTATCACAATAGCGATCGTAATCGATCAACGATCAACGATCAAGACATGTGCGGTCATAAGTCGGATTTACTGTTTATTTCACCAATCAATTGCTAATCGATATGATTAGAATTGATTGAATCATGTATAATATATGCAGATACATGGAGATGAAAACTAACGGTGTCAAAGGAATAGACCGAATTGCTGAATCGAATTGCTCGAACAATTGATTATAAAGTGACTAGTTTAGCAGGATCTGTGGCAATTGCCCGTCTCGTATACCTCGACGAACGTCGCGCGTTAATTGATCCCGCGTAACTATCAATGATTAATTACGCATCTCGGCGCGCAATTAAACGTGCCGCAAGAGTATTATCGATTGTTTACCGAAACTCCTAATTGATGCGGCACGCCGCCGCGCCGCCGCGCCGCCGCGCCGGTTCAATTCATCGCGGGCTCCATCCGCGTGCGAATTCCACAGGAAGTTGCGCGCTGGGCGTTTCGCGCGTGAATAGACTGTTCCTATATGCGCAATTAACACACACGCGCGCGTATCATCTTCAGATCATCCACGTTGCCCGTGATTGTTGATGCTCTCGTTATCGATTTCGGGAGGCGAGTTCGTTTCCTGCCCCCGTTTCAGGGCAGGAAAGTAGCGATAAATGATGAATTTCCCGATATCGCGATAATGCCGCGGATTCCTCTCTGTCGGTTGGATAAATAATATCAGGGCACAGATTAATATTCTTTCGCACGCGCCTTTCGTAGAAAGTACATAAGAAGAAGGGTGCATTTGACAGGAAGGTCGTATTGAAGGAAACTTTCTCGTGCCAGAAGGAAAGAGACCTAACTTAGATTTGTTTGGCCACTTAGTGGATATATGAGTTTTTGGTAATAAATGTGTATATACATCGATAGCTCGTTTTATAACACGTGCA